GGCTTCGGCTCAACCCTGCCAAGACCGAGTGGCTGTGGGTACCAGCATCTCAGTCCGAAGGAGAGGTTCCATCGTTGGCTATAGGGGATGAAGTTTTACCCCCTGTAGATAGGGCACGCAACTTGGGTGTCCTCCTGGATTCACAGTTGAGTTTAGAAGACCATATAACGACCGTGACCAGAGGGGCATATGCCCAGATTCGTCTAGTGCGCCAGTTCCGCCCCTACTTGGACTGAGTTGCTCTACGCACAGTTACTCATGCGCTAGTCACCTCCTGTATTGACTACTGTAACGCTCTCTACATGGGGCTGCCCTTGAGGACCACTCGGAGGCTTCAGCTGGTGCAAAATGCAGCCACGTGGGTTATGATGGGAGAATCCCGATACTCCCATGTAACACCTCTCCTGCGCGACTTGCATTGGTTGCTGGTTGCCCTCCAGGTGAGATTCAAGGTGCTGGTGATGACCTATAAAGCCCTACATGGCTTAGGCCCAGGATATTTGGCGGACCACCTGCAGCCAGCAACAACTTCCCATCGCCCAGTTCGCGCCCATAGGGAGGGCCTGCTCAGGGTGCCATTGGCTAGACAATGTCAGCCGGTGGCCCCCAGGGGTAGAGCCTTCTCTGTGAGCTGCCCACCCTCTGGAATCAACTCCCCTTGGGGCTCCAGCTGGCCCCTGACCTTCTCACTTTCCGCCGTGAATTAAAAACTTGGTTATTCAAGTCCCCCAGCCTGGACTGATGGGGTTTTATATGGGTTTTTAATTTTTATCAGGTTTAATTGGGTATTTTAATTTTGCACTGTGGTTATTGTGGATTTTATTGTTGTGAGCCGCCCTGAGTCCGTTGGAGATAGGGTGGCATATAAATTAAATAAAATAAATAAATAAAATAAATAAATAAATAAATAAAATAAAATAAATTTCCTCTAACCATATCTGTTTTTTAACCCAATAGTTCTTTGCTTCTTTGCATGTCCACTACATATGGTAATTGATATGATCCCACATATGATCCCGGCAGTTGCTGACATTTCCAACATTTATCTGATTTATCTTTGAAGATTTTAGCTAATCTTTCTGGTGGCATATGTCATTTATAAAACATCTTATACAAATTTTCTTTATATGCTTTTGCCATTGTTAATTTATAATTTCTCTCCCATAATTGTTGCCATTTCTCCAATTCAATAGTATAACCAGTTGTTTGCCCATGCTATCATTGTTTCTTTTACTTCTTCATCTTCTAATTTAATTCGCAATAGATAATTATATAATTTCTTAATCATTTTTTCATCTGTTCCTGTCAGTATCTCATCCAGTTCTGATTTCCCCAAATTAAAACCATACTGTCTATGGTCTGCTTCAAATCTTGATTGTATTTGCAATCTTGTATACCAATCTGTCTCAATCCCTTGCTTTTCCAACTCTTGCTTTTGTTTCAATTCTCCCCGTTCTGTTAAAATATCCTTGTATCTAACAATATTCCCCATATTTATAATATTTGGATATGTCAAAGCTTCTATTGTTGAAAGCCACATTGGTATATTCAAATAATGTTTTTCTTTCACTCTCTCCCACACTAATAACAAACCATTTCTTACATAATGTCTCTGGAAATATGGATGTATCCTTTGTTTCCCATATCATAGGAAAGTGTGCCAACCTAGTTGTAAATCATGTCCCTCCAACGTCAATAGTCTTATGTTTCTCAATAAAATCCATTCCTTAATCCGTGTTAATGCTGCCGCTTGGTAATATAGTTCCCAGTTCGGTAGTCCAAACCCATCTCTAGTTCTCGCATCTTGTAACATTTTTATATTAATTCTTGCTCTTTTTCCTTGCCATACATATTTCCATATTATTTTCTTCAAATTTTCAAAGTACTTTTTCTCCAATTTTATTGGTATCGTTTGAAAGAGAAATAACAGTTTTGGTAATATGTTCATCTTTATTAATGCTATTCTTCCCATTAATGATAGTTGCAGATTCCTCCATTTCTCCAAGTCTGTTTCAATTTGATTTTTCAATTTATAGTAATTATCTTCCTTGATAGTTACACATCTTGACGTTAAATGAATACCCAAATATTTCTCTTTCTTCACTATTTGAATGTCCAGTTTCTCCATTATTTCCTTTTGTTGATTTTCTTTCATATTTTTTACTAATATTTTTATCTTATCCTTATTAATTTTCAATCCTGCTACTTCTCCATATTCTTCTATTTGCTCTGGCAGCTTTGGTGCTGTCTCTGTCGGATCTTCCATGATAAACACCAAATCATCCGCAAATGCTTGCAATTTATATTCCTCTTTTTTAATTTTCATTCCTTTTATATCCTTGTCCTGTCTCACTTTTCTATTTAAAGTCTCTAGTGTCAAGATGAATAATAGCACAGATAATGGGCAACCCTCTCTTGTTCCTTTTCTAATATCCACTTTTCCTGTCATTTTGCCATTTACCATCACCTTTGCCGATTGATTTTGTATATAGTTTTAATGATATTTATAAATCTATCCCTAAAGTCCATCATTTTTAACTGTATTGTCATAAATTGCCAATTCAAACGCTTCCTGTGGATCTAAAAACAGTAAAGGTATTTGCTTCTCTGAATGTGCTTCATAATATTCCAAAGTGTTTAATATAATCCACATGTTGTCTCTAATCTTTTCGGTAAGAAACCATTTTGGTCCATATGTATAAACTCATTTAAGAGTTTTTTTCAATCTTTCAGCCATAATTGATGTAAAAATTTTATAATCTGCATTTAATAGGGATATTGGCTTGTTGTAGATCCGACTCTTCTTTTGGTATCAAGGTTATATATGCCTCCATGATCCATGAGTCCGGAATTTTGGCTTTTAATAGTAATTCATTAAATACCTGCAACATCACATTACTTAATACATCTTGTAGCACTTTATATACCTCTGCTGGTAATCCATCCGGACCTGATGTTTTCCCATTCTTTTGTCTTTTAATTCCCTCTACTAATCATTGATATTCTTTCTTCTAACATTTTTTTGATTTTTTCTGGAATCTTAGGTATTTCGGCTTTTTCTAAGTATTGTTCTATCTTTTCCTCTACAACTGTCTCTTGTTTATACAGTCCATTATAATATTTCTCAATTATTCTTTTCTTTTCCTCATTTTTGTAACATACATTTCCATCTTGGTCTAATAACTGACTTATTAGCTTCTTTTCTTTCTCTTTTTTCATTTTATATGCTAGCCACCATCCTGGTTTATTTGCATTTTCAAAAAAGTTTTGCTTTGTAAATTTTATTTTGTTTGCCAACTCTTCATTTTCCATTAAATTCAACTTGTGTTTTTTCAAGTCCATCAGATTCTTAATCTTTTTATCTTGTGGATTTTTCTGTAACTCCATCTCTAACTTCTTGTACTCCTTCTCTAATTTCTTGTGCATTTGTTTATTTTGCTTATTCCGTTTTCCTAAATATGTCATTGTCAATCCTCTAATAAATGCTTTGCTAGTGTCCCACACATTTTGTAGTGATGTATCTTCTTTCCTGTTCTCTTTAAAGAAAAAGTCAATTCTTTTTCCATGTATTGTTGAAAGCTCTTTTCACTTAATAATTTTTGATTTAATGTCCATCTCTCTTTTTTCTTACGTCCCTTCCATGTCATTGTTATTAGATTGTGGTCTGCCCATGTACTTGTTTCTATATCAATCTTTTGTCTTTTAGATATTAATTCTATTGACATCCACATTGTTTGATATTCAGGATTATAATACTTTTTAAAATTTCTCAGTATAATTTTCTTGGCTCTTTTTTGTACCCAATATTATCAGTATAGGTCATCCTTGATACTACTTGTTCAGTGACCATTCAAAATTTCAATTGTCCTGAAAAAAATAACATTACAACCATTTACATTAGCAGCATCCCTCAGTCATGGGATCACCATTACAGTCAGAAAGACTGTAGACATTGTTCTATGTCTTTCCTTTTTCTCCTCTTGCAGAGAAAAGAAGAGAAAGGGATTAGAAGATGTTAAATATCAAGTGACAGTTTAAATAAGCCAATCAGGAATTAGTCCTGAGAGCGGGAAATTTAAAGGCACATCAGTGGCTGAAGCCGTGGACAGCTCCTGGCTATATAAAGGGCTGCCGGGGCTGGAGTGGCCATTGCTGTTACGGAGCTAAATAAAGTGTATCCAGTGCACATTGTATCGAGTCCTTTCTTCAACCGCCCGCGATTTAACAGAAGAGAGTAAGCAGACACATAATGGAAATAAATATCAAAAGCAGTGCACTAGTGCTGGCAACTGTGAGGGCACTTGGCAAAGCCAGTGTATTCCTACTGTATTCCTACTGTACTTGCTTACTGTTCTCTAATGCAGGTTATTTAAGGGACTGCCCCTCTCCTGTCACCTCTACCCCTTGCATCAGGATCAGCAGGAGAGGCATGTTATGAGTTACAAAACAAGGTCATGTAGTGGGACCCAGGAGGAGAGTCTTCCCTGTTGTGGCCCCTGCCCTGTGAGCACCTTCTGCTTCCCAGACCTTAAATTGGCCCCGACCTTCCCAGCCTTTAACAAGGTTCTGCACACATGACTCTGCCACTGTTTTGGGGAAGGGGTGTCTGGAAATGGCAGGAGGCTCTTACAGTGGCTGTGTTGAGCTGAGGTAGAAAGGATTCTGCTGCTGATTGTGATGTTTTGTTTTGTAAATTATTATAGAGACTCTTAATATGTTTTATATGTTTCTATATAATAAATTGATTTTTAATGTTTTATTGGATTGTTTGTTTAAAAATCTGTATGAACCACCCAGAGTCACTTAGATGAGATAGGTGGCCATACAAATTCAATAAAGTTAATAAGTAAGATACATTAACATATATAAATTAATAACTTCGTATTTGAAAAGTAATCCAAATAAAATAATTCAGAAAAACAAGGCCTAATACTGCAGAGAGACTGAAGTTAGGGTTTCAAAATATATTAGCATCTGCCCGGCTTCTCTTGTTTTTACAGAAAGGAAACGAAGTCACTTTATTTAAAGAATGTGACTCCCCTGCCAGTCGCCTGGCGGATCAGCGGCCTGGAGAACATTGGTGACGACTTCTGCTTGTCTGAGGACATTGGCATCATCGAGCCCTTCACTGAGCACTGCCTGCTGGTCAACTTCAAGGCCACAAAGGCCCTCAATCTCAAGAAGGCTATCCGGCTGGAGGTGAGTCCTCTGTGGGACAGGGCAAAGCAAGCCATACAGCTCAGAAACCTTGCTGGATTTGATTGTGATGAGACCATTAGCAAGAGATGAAAGGATTTTGCTAAGTTTCCATTTCATGACCAGTTTCTCAACAAATCCCCTCCATGACAAGTACTGCCATCGAAAGAGGCTGGGGCAACCCAAAAGGAGCCAGGGCCTGCCTTCTCTGGGTTGCAGGGCACACAGAGCTAAGTAGGGCAGGGAAGATGTCCAGCTCCATCTGCACCAGAGACATGGGACTGGAGGGAGTACTGCCTCCTCAGGCAGCAACTTCTGGCATGGGAATAGGAAGGACAGGCAGCCCCGCAGAAGCAGCAAGAACAAGAGAGGAATTTGCTCCTCAAGATAATACAGCCTTATTACAGGGTTTCTTGTGGGCTCTTGGGGAGTTGCTGGGAGAGGAGAGGATCTAGGAACATGAGGGGGTTAGACATGGAGGCTGATGGGGAGAAGTGGCAATCTTGAGGGACAGGAGAAGAGCAGCAAACAAGGCAAAATCATCAGCCAAAAGCCATCCGAGTCCAAGTCAGCACAGACAACACCCCACCCCCCACAGTTTTCAGAAAGATAAAAGGGTGGGGGATGCCTTCTGGCTTGCAAGATTTTGTTGCTGTAACCTTATAGTAAAAGAAATATTGACCCACAGGACTTTGGTTTCTTATTCTGGTGTACTTTGACGGGCTGACAGGATCATCTATCAAGTCTTAGGAATTGTGCCTTTTCTGTCACAATCTGTGGCTGGAACAGTGTTCTTCCCCAATTCTTTATTTGCTATTTAGTCATCAAATATATATCCCCCTTTAAACACACAATACCCTTGGCAGCTCCTACATATTAATGTAGGAGTGTATTTATGAAAGAGAGCTGACAGGCTGACAGGCTCTGGTCTTCAGCAGGCAGCACCAAGGGCTGACCCTGTCAACTATGATGTCCATTGGAATAACAATCCTTGTGGTAATTTTAGGTTTCTGATGCAGAAAATATTCTGGGGATTGTTCAGATTGAAAATATACAGATTGTTGCTGAGGCCTATGATGTGGCCCTGGACATCAGTTTCCCCAAAGGTAAGTTATCATTTATTTATTTAAATTAAATTAAAATTAAGACTTTTTTGAAACTCTGAGGATTTTCAGCTGAGTGCTCACTGGGAAGCATTTTAAGAGAGTCAGTCGTATTCTGTCCCCTGTCCTCCCCCAATTACCTCCCTTGGTCCACAGCCATTTCTGCTGCACTTGCTTTCCACCTGACCTTCCTCTTCTGGATCAGAAGACAGTGATGGAGGATCCTTGCTGTCAAAGAAAGCACTTTTCCACACATTTTTATTTTATTCAGAAAGTTAAAATACAAAGAGAAAAAAGAAATCTTACAAAAGCAATGCAAAGATAAACAAAACATTGAAAAAAACAAAAAAGACACATATAAATATGTTGCTTCCACTACATGCCATAGGGCCTGACTACATGACAGATTGCCTCTCTCCCATAACATCAGTCTAGCCTATTTAACAAATTAGAGAAGTTAAAATTAGAGATTATATGTTTCCAGGAAGTCCATATTAGAAAACAACAGAAAATTTTATTTGGAGCAAATAAAATTGGGGACATTGTATACAACGCTTGCTTGCCAAAGCAAAAGAGGAGTATCATTTTATATTAAAAAGACAATTCAATCTAAACAAATATTTGAGGATGAGGAAGGAAGACTATTAATGGTAGAAATAGTAATGAATCACACACAAAAAATACTATTGGTAGGGATATATGCTCCAAATGAAAACCAAGAAGAATTTTATGCGAAATTACATAGAAAAATATTAGAATATGAATATGAAGATATATGCATAACAGGAGAGTTTAATGTGATTGATAATAATGAGTTAGATTACAAATCTACAAAAGTGAATAAAAAATTAAGGAAGACTCTCCCTAGATCATTTTATACAATGACAGATGAACTAAGTTTACAAGATGCATGGAGAGAAAGAAAGCTGAAAGAAAAGCAGTATACATTTTACTCAAACAGGCACATGTCATAGTCAAGAATAGACATGATGTGGATGTCAACAGAATTAATCTCTAAAATATATAAGATTAATATAGAAACAAGTACATGGGCAGACCACAATCCAATAACAATGATATGGAAGGGGAAGAGAAAAAGAATGAGATGGACATTAAACCAAAACTTACTAAATGAAAAAGAGTTGACTTTTTTCTTTAAAGAAAATAGAAAAGAAGATACATCAGGGCTGAAATGTAAAAATGTTAGCTACCAGTTCTGTGGTTGTGGCTTGCCCTTCTGAAGCCAAGAACGCTTTGAGTTTCCCTCCACCACCCAAGCGAACATCGGAGCTTTCTCTTGCAGAAGCAGAATCCAGCACAGAAATGGAAAAATGAGGGGGGGGGATGGGGAGGAGAAGGTGTACCGTATTTTTTGGTGTATAAGACGCACCGGAGTATAAGACGCACCTTAATTTTGGGGAGGAAAACAAGGAAAAAAGTATTTTACCTCTGCCTACCAGCATTTAAGGTGGCGCCGCCCTCCTCCTCCTCCTGCAAGCGAGAGGTGCAGGGACTACTCACTTTCCCCCAAAGAGACCCCTCGCATGCTGTGGGGGGAGGGACAGAGCACAGCCTGAGGAACAAATCTCTTCGGGATGGTCGGGGGGGGGGGATCTGCCCAGCAGCTTCGGGGAACAAGGCGGGTGCCACGATTTGTGGCTGGTCACCTCTCTGGCCACGCTGACTTCACTCTCCAGCAATGTGAGGAGCCGCCGCCGCCGCTGCCTAAGCCCTTTCTGCACCCAGGAGCCAAGCTGAGCTGAATGGGAGCCCCTAAAAGGAAACGTTCCTCCTTTCCAGCCATCGCTGCCCAGATTCCCCAATGCAATTCTCAAGAGTCGCACTTCAGGTGGCGGACAGTTCCCCTGCAATGTGCAGCGGGGAACTGAGAAGTGCTTTGGATTCGGGGAGGAGATTGTAGCACTGCCGCCTGAAAGTGTTTTTCTGCACATTACAGAGCCGTGCGCCCCTGTCCCCCTTCTCAGCAGACTCAACTTCTCTTTCCTCCTGACCAGATCCACTGCCTGAAACACGGTGCACTTTTTTTTGTCTCTGCACACCCCATGTTTGGAATCGGGAAGGGGATCGCGGGTTCAGGCAGCAATTGCTACCGGTACGGAGAACTAGCCTCAATCTCCGCTACCGGTCCTCCCGAACTGGTAGCATTTCACCCCTGGGACACATCATGGCAAAATGTATGGGATACTAGTAAGGCATATATTAGAGGATTGACAATGACATATTTAGGAAAACGGACTAAACAGAACAGACAAATACAAAAGAAGTTGGAGGAGAAGTATAAGAAATTAGAGAAAGAATTACAGAAGAATCCACAGGACAAAAAAATAAAAAATTTGATGGACTTGCAAAAACATAAATTGAACTTAATGGAAAATGAAGATCTGGCAAATAAAATCAAATTAACAAAGATTTTTTTTTTAAAATGCGAATAAGCCGGGACGATGGTTGGCATATAAAATGAAAAAGGAAAAAGAAAAGAAATTGAAAAATCAATTATTAGATCAAGATGGAAACATATGTCATCAAAATGAGGAAAAGAAAAAAATAATTGATAAATATTATAAAAGTTTATATCAGCAAGAGATGGTGGCAGAAGGAAATATAGAACAATACTTAGAAAAAGCTAAAATACCTAAAATTCCAGAATAATTTAAAAAGATGTTAGAAAAAAGAATATCGATGATGGAATTGATGGAGGGAATTAAGAAACAAAAGAATGGTAAAACACCAGGACCAGATGGACTGCCAGCAGAACTATATAAAATGCTGCAAGGTGTATTAAGCAATGTAATGTTACAAGTATTTAATGTTTTATTATTAGAAGCCAAAGTTCCGAATTCATGGTTGGAGGCATATATAACTCTTATACCAAAAGAATCGGATTTACAACAAATAAAGAATTATAGACCAATTTCTTTATTAAATGTGGATTGCAAAATTTTTGCATCAATTATGGCTGAAAGATTGAAGAGACTGTTAAATGAGTTTATACATCCAGATCAGAATGGTTTTCTACCTAAAAGACAAATTAGAGATAATATGCGAATTATACCGGATACATTGGAATATTATGAAGCATACCCAGAGAAGCAAATGCCGTTGTTATTTTTGGATGTGCAGAAAACATTTGATAATATGAATTGGCAATTTATGACTACACAATTACAAATGATGGACTTTGGGGATAGATTTATAAACATGGTTAAAACTATAAAGGCCAATTGGCAAAAGTGATTGTGAATGGTGAAGTGACAGAAAAAGTGGACATTAGAAAGGGAACTAGACAAGGATGTCCGTTATGTCCATTATTATTCATACTGACATTAGAAATTTTAAACAGAAAGATAAGACAAGACAAAGTAATAAAAGGGATGAAAATAAAAAAGAAGAATACAAATTACAAGCTTTTACGGATAATTTAGTGTTTATCATGGAAGAACCAATAGAAACAAGTCCAAAGCTAATTGAGCAAATAGAGGAATATGGAGAAGTAGCGGGATTGAAAATCAATAAAGATAAGACAAAAATCATAGTTAAAAATATGAGAGAAAAACAAAAAAGCAATTAATGGAGAAGTTAGATATTTAAATAGTGAAGAAAGTGAAATATTTGGGCATTCAATTAACTTCAAGGTGTATTACTGTGAAGGAAGATAATTATTATAAATTGTAAAATCAAATTGAAATAGATTTGAAGAAATGGAAAAATTTGCAATTATCACTAATGGGAAGAATAGCATTAATTAAAATGAACATATTACCAAGAATTTAGTTTTTCTTTCAAACAATACCGATAAAGCTGGAGAAAAAATATTTTGAGAATTTGAACAAAATGATGTGAAAATATATATATGGCAAGGGAAAAAAGCAAGAATTAATCTTAAACTGCTTCAAGATTCTAGAACTAGAGGTGGGTTTGGTCTGCCAAATTGGGAACTATATTACCAAGCGGCGATGCTAACCTGGGTTAAAGAATGGATTTTATTGAGAAACACAAGAATATTGACTCTGGAAGGACATGATTTGCAATTAGGTTGGCATGCTTTTCTTTGGTACAGGAAAAATAGGATATGTGGGTATTTTCAGAGACATTATGTAAGGAATGGTTTGCTAACAACATGGGAGAGAGTGAAAGAAAAACATTATATGAAGATACCAATGTGGCTTTCAATGATGGAAGCTTTGACGCATCCAAATATGATTAACATGAAAAATATTGCGAGATATAAGGATATCTTAACAGAGAAGGGAGAACTAAAACAGAAACAAGAACTAGAAAAGCAAGGGATTGAGACACATTGGTATACACGAGTGCAAATACAATCAAGATATGATAAAGGTTTGAAACAGTATGGTTTTAATCTGGGAAAATCAGAATTGGATGAGATATTGACTGGGACAGATGAAAAAATGATTAAGAAATTGTATTATTATTTATTGCAAAGCAGATTAGAAGATGAAGAAGTAAAGGAGACAATGATAACATGGGCAAAAAACTTTGGTTACACAATAGAATTAGAGAACTATGGGAAAGGAATTACAAATTAACAATGGCAACTGCAGATAAAGAAAACCTATATAAAAAGTCACCGGTTGGTGACTTGCAGCGATAGGGTGTTGAGTGAGTGCTCGCTGCTCCTCAACACCTCTTATCACCGCGTTTTGGGGATCCCTTTGGGGGCGCGGGACCCAGAGAGTCCCGCGGACAAGAGAGGAAGCCAGGCGAGTGGGAAAGTGGGGTGTGACCATTTCCCGCTGGACCGGGTGGCTCTGTCGATCCAACGCGGTGAGCCGGCCACTAATGGCAGGCCTGAAGCTGCAATAGCTGGCAAGAGACGGGAAGCTAAGAAGGAGATCGGAGGTGCTGTGTCAGATCTAAAGCCACATTCCCATACCCTGGAGTGATCTAGCGCTGAAAGAGGAGGTCGGCGGAGTCGGGAGAGGAGTGCTTGACTCGGTGTGAGGCGGCGACGGAGAGGGTAA